TAACATGAAAAGATGCCCATGATTTATTGTGTATTGCAGAGCAATACATGCAGTATAAGCACATTCATGTTTAGACACTCCAGACAGTATATATACGCAGATAGGTATTTAATGCCTTTTAAGTAAGTTGAAGTTTTGCAGTAAATTGTTAAAAGCTATTCTTTCTAGGGGTTAGACCTGAGGGTGGGGAAGAATAGAAAACTGTCCCCATTTTATTTTATACACATTTTTACTGAAATTTTAACAACAAGCATATATTTTGTAGTAAATGAACATTTGAAAAAATGAAAAGTGCATTCAGATTCTATAGGAATAGTGCAAAATAAAATGTTTATGTGAGACTAGGTAGTCTCTGAGATTCCACCTGCTTAACAGATTATGAGTCCATGAAATCACAGTCAAGTAAAAAGTAGTAAATCTTTCTTATAGATACAAAATGTCTCATTCACAGTGTGGTGGAAGAGTGAGAAGAAAAGAGGAAGAGAGAGTAAACCATAAGGTCAGAACGCGGTCAGCCAGAAGCAAGAGTGGGCACCACTGATCCTGGTTCCGGAGGAGCACGGAACTCAAATTCCTCTTCAAAAGGGCTCTAACACGTATTTAAGAGAAGCTATGGGGGCCTTAAACCTTCTGTTTTTTAGATGAAATATGCCCAGATTTCTCCCAATAAGATCCTTTGTCATCCTGATCACCCTGCTGTGTTTATTCCGATTTGTCAATGTCCATCTTGAAATTTGACAACCAGAATCATATTCTACTGCCTTCCAATTTACAGTCTTGTCACTGTGGGATACAGTCAGATTAACCCTTCCTCATGCAGGAGACACTTTAAAAAAAATCTAGACTAAGATTATTCCCAAACCTCTGCCTTGTATTTTCTCCTCGAAATTCCTGGTTAAGAGTTTTGCTGTTTTTTCTTCATTATTTGCCACCTAGGGCTTCTAGATTTGGGGCATTTGTTTGTTTTCTCTGGTTGTCTTCTATTGTTGAAACTTTGCCTCCCCTTGAGCTGTTTCACAGAGAGATTTCTCAGATTTCCCCAACTTTTCTTTTAACAAAAATATCAGCTCATGTGAGTCACATCATTAATTGATATCGGCTTCAAGGAAGGAAGCTAACTCGGCCCAGGCCCTGCAGATCACCAGAAGGGTTTCCTTTTGTCACCAGGACATTGTGCAAGTTGGGAAAAAAATAAGTAAGAGTGCCCTCTCTGGGCAGATGAAGTACAAAAAGTTCTTCTCCGGGTGGATGAATTAGAAAAATGTCCCTTTTCCATGGGTGAAGAGGCCTGGGGACCTGGCTTGAGTGGGGACTGGATTTTAGCTGATCTTTCTTGTGTGCAGGGTGTAACAGCACAGCTACTTGCAGCAGCCTGGGTTGTCAAGCACCTCGTGGCTGCCTCTTTGTGGCACCGTTTCCCAGTTTCTGGTCCAGGTGGTTCTTGGGGAATATACTTTCTACACCAGTTACTCCTGGTTTGGTTCTTTCCTCCTTTCCTTTTTTTTTTTTTAAATCAACAGTACTATCGAGGTATAATTTACATACCATAATATTCATCCCATTGTAAGAATACAGTTCAGGGATTTTTGATAAATTCATAGCATTGTACAAATCACTACAGTCTAGTTCCAGAACATTTCCATCATGGCAAAAAGTTCTCCAGTGCCCGTTTGCAATCAGTTCCTGCTCTCAACCCCAGCCCCAGGCAATCCCTGGTCTGCTTTGTGTCTTTATGGATTTGCCTTTTCCGGAAATCTCATATAAATGGGCTCATATCTTCCTTTATCTGCTTTCCTCAGCTGATCTGCTGGAGGTGCAATGGCTGCCCCCTTTTACTCCTCCTCCAAACCCTCACTCATCCCTTCCTTTCCATCCTGCCTCAGCATTCAAATGGGCTCTATTACCTCCCATCTTAGAGCATTCTCCTTTGTCCAGCATCCGACCCAGCCACCACCCTATTTCTCTGGGCCATTTCTGAGCCCATGTCTTAAGATTTGACTTCATATACTTGCTCCATTCTCTTCTCTCCGTGTACTCTCCTTTTAAAAAATATTTTTAAATATAATATCTGATATGAATAAAAGAACATTAAAAAGAAACTATAGGGGCTTCCCTGGTGGCGCAGTAGTTAAGAATCCGCCTGCCAATGCAGGGGACACAGGTTCAATTCCCTGGTCCGGGAAGATCCCACATGCCATGGAGCAAGTACACCTGTGCGCCACAGCTACTGAGCCTGCTCTCTAGGGCCCCAGTGACATAACTACTGACCCCGCATGCTGCAACTGCTGAGGCCCACGCGCCTAGAGCCCGTGCTCCGCAGCAAGAGAAGCCACCGCAATGAGAAGCCCGCACACCACAACGAAGGGTATCCCCCGCTCACTGCAACTAGAGAAAGCCTGTGCACAGCAATAAAGACCCAACGCAGCCAAAAATAACTAAATAAAATAAATTTAAAAAAGAGAACATGTAATATACATATACATTTAAGGCATAGTGATATAATGAACATCTACACCTGTGACCCACTCCTTCCACCAGCCTTACAAACAGTGGAACCTATGACTCAAAGTATCTAAAGTCTCTTGCTCACCTCTACACTTTTTTCTCTTCTTTGATCATTTCTAACTCATTTTAATTCCACTTTTAAAAAGGAGTCTGGGCTAAGTAGTCTTTGAAATTCATTACATTGCTAAAATTTGCTGATTATTATTGAGAGATTAATTTTATGTTTAGAATGTATTATGGAAGATTTATAGCTTACATTGTTGAATATTACCATAATTTATTTTATTATGAAGTCTCAGCTAAGAGCATGACATACAATTATAATATCATTTCTATAGGAAGTTTATTCTACTTTGTATTAATTTGCTTTAGATGCTGGCTTTTTTCCCCAAATATTTGGAGCTAAAAGCTAAACTTTCTGTAATGTTCTCCCTCAACCCTCCTCTCTTTGGATTGAATTCATTTAACCAGTCCAGTTGACCCCAAGGGAGGTATGGATGTCAATTATTGCTACAACTTAATACTAATGACTACTTAAATATTTAATTACTGTAACACTTGACACTTAGGGAGAAACTATTTATAATCATCAAAACCACGCCTTTGTTTTCATCTTTCATGCCTGGCGTTTGGCATATTCCTGTTGTAACATCGCTGGGAATGAGCTGCTCTAGAGGTGGAAAAAATGCCTCCCTCTCTCTTCCACCTCCAGGCAGAAGAAGTTGCACTGAAAGTGATTAGTGATGGATATTTTAAAAATTTATAATTACATTAGTCAGTTTTCCAAACTACGTTTTTATTGAAAATTTATTGCATTTTAGAAGTGTGAAATATTTTCTTATTCCTTTCTATTGAGTATCGATGTCATTTAAACAGTTAGCTCTTAAAAGCACTCATTTTTCTTGGACTCTTACTTTGCTTCATTAACTAGTGCATTCTAAGAAATATGGTAACTCTTTAATGAGTTGCAAGTAGACCCAGGTGGCTGACCATTGTCCTGTGGAGCTGGGGCTCGGTCTGGCAGGAACACCATGGAAGATACTCTCTTTTTCCTGACAAGTGCAGGCCAAGGAGAGCAGGGAGCTCAGTTTAGGGCTCTGTGTTCTTGTGAAAGATACATTCCAGCCAAGGCAATCCTGAGGCACAAGTCATCCCTGGGCTCGGGAAGAATACATATGTGAGCAGGTCCTGTGACTCCCAACACACATATACTTCAGAGTTTTCCTTTAGTCTGAGAGTTTCTAGTCATTAATACCATACTTTGCCAGTCTCTGCTGTTACTGGGCCCACATATTCTCATTTTATTCTGAAGATGCTGTATGTTTATGGCTTTAGCTCCTATTATTCTAAATCTGTTTGATCACATGCTTTGTGCTTTTCCTCCTAACTAAAATTAAAAAGAAACAAATAAGCATATCCTCTATTTAAGTGGGTGAGTGAAGCTTTACTGACTATGTACACTGACTTCATGAAAGGGAGAGACTGTCTCTGGACCTGTGAAATGTCTTATACATGCACATATTTTGAAACATACTCTGCTGATGAGTGAGGCTCTGGGTTGCCAGATAGTCTGGTTCTTCTTTGTGTACTTAGGACTTTAACAAGTTCACTCCAGACCTCATTTACAGCACCAATGACATTACAAAATCCTTTTTCTTTTTTAACTTTAGTCTCCTTTTTCAGTCATCACAGTCCTAAAATCTGAAATGTTCCTTTTCTACCGATTCACTTTTTGTAATTAGAATTTCATTTCTTTTTATATGAAATCAAAAGTATCTTCTCTAGAGAAATACATATTTTTCTATTCTTCTACCAAATTTGTCAAACTTTATAAAATTATAGGCCTCTTTATTTTCCTTAACCAGTTTTAATTCCTTGAGGTCTAAATTCATATTAGTCTTAAACTTTAATCACCATTGCATTTAGTAAAAAATCATAAGAAAAATTAATATGATTTTTTAATTGTCATACTAATGAAGGATTTCATTAAGATCTTAACTGCTATAAATAAAGGATAAAAAACAATTCTTCATTAGATAAAGAGTGTGGTTAAGATCAGTATCATAGTCAAAGATATAAGGCTTGATTTTATATATATAGCTCTCTTCATTAAACATAATCAGCATGAAATATTTAAGAATTTATTTACTTAATTGAGTTTTCTCAGTTGTAGAAGAGAAAACAATAATGTTTTAAATTTTTAGATTTTTCTAAGTCTCACGCTTTCAAGCCTTCGAAGTTTTTGCACATCTGAAAGGCTTTTCTTGTGCTTGCGATGCTTCTTGTTTGCATTATGACAGGTGGTGCATCAATTGTGCATTACTTTGTAATGTCAGTTATTTGATTTCTGTGTGACTTTTTTCCCATTTAAACTATAAAATCTTCAAGATGAACAGGGACAGCAGAGTCTGTGGTCTCCCGTCATGGCCATCTGCACATAGTCATGCAAAGCTGATATTTTGGGTGACTAAGAATTTTTGCATTTCATTTCACAGGTGGGGAGCATTAAGCGGGAAATGGCCTTCACATTTCAACCAGAGGACTTAAAACGTGACTCTAGTAAAAAACTGTCTCATCAACACTTGTTCCCCTTGGCCATGGAGGAGGATGTGAAAACAGCAGACACCAAAAAAGTCAACCGAGTCCTTGACCATGAAAAAGAAAACACTCGCTCCATCTGTCTCCTTGAACAAAAACGAAAAGTTGTTTCTTCCAATATTGACGTTCCTCCAGCAAGGTAAGGGACCGTTAGACCTTATATGTGTCTGCTCCAGGAAGTCAGTGGAGAGCATGTATAGTCTCCGCCGTATCTCTCTAAAGTATAGACTTAGGAAGGTTTTTCTGCCAAGAACATTTTCCTGTTGCTTGTGTGAAATAGAGCAGGTGGCCGTGCTCTTCAGAACTGACTCAGGCTGTAGTAGTTGGAACTACTGTGGCTCTAGAAAAGAATGTTTTATTAGATTTTGGCAAATGAACAACAAGAGCAAAAGAATAAATATAAAAAAATAAAAGAAACATGAAATGTATGACTGAGCATAGCCACTTAAAAGCAAGAATACTCATATCTTTTGGTCAGGTGTTGGAGAGCTATGGCTGTAGGGCAGATTCAGCCCCTGGCCTGTTTTTGTTTGGCCTGCCAGATAAGAATAGTTTTACATTTTTAAAGGGAAAAGTAAGTGTAGAATATGGGATATAGATCATAGATGGCCTGCAAAGCCTAAAATATTTATGTGTGACTCATTATAGAAAAAGTTTGGTGATCCCAGGTTTATATCATGGTAATCCTTTTAAGACAGATCTAGCTTAGAACTGGGCCAAGAGGGTTTATCTGAAATATTAAAAGGCTTTTATTACATTGTAATTCTATTTAAACCACATCCAGCGCCATTGAACCAAAGGACAACATTATGGCAGAATGACAGTGGAATAGTAGTAGAATATACATGCTAGACCTTTTACTTATTTTCTTGCCTGTCATTTATCTCACCTAGAAAGTAAGTTCCATGTTGGCCGTGATTTTAGTCCATCTTGTTCAGTGGTGTAGCCCTAGTATTAAAACCATGTTGAATTATATATTAAGAGCTCAATAAATATTTGTTGAATGAAGAAAAGAAAGGAGATGCTGTAGCATGAAAGCTTGCTTATTTTTAATATGTGAAATATATTTTGTTACCAAAAAACATCTATAATGAAACGTTATAAGCAATTGTTTGAGAAGTTCTGCGTTTGTTTGAGTGGTTTCTGATAGCTAACTAGGAAAATAGTATCTTTAGAAAAGGAATAAATGTTCCTTTTCTACTGATTCACTTTTTGTAATTAGAATTTCATTTCTTTTTATATGAAATCAAAAGTATCTTCTCTAGAAAAATACATATTTTTCTATTCTTCTACCAAATTTGTCAAACTTTATAAAATTATAGGCCTCTCTATTTTCCTTAACTTTTAATTGAAACTTTTCATATATTCATTACCTCTGTTTAACTACTTGGAATTATTTGCTTTTCTCATTTATTCATATAAAATACATGCTGAATTCTTTAGGATTAGTTCCTTTAACTGGGGGTTCATTATGAAATGTCTTATCATGCCCTGAACCTGGTAGGCACCTCAGTTCATATCCGTTATTTGGTTGACTCATAGGTAAAATGACATGTAATTTGAAATGTGAAGAGCTATGGTTTTATTTTTTTGCTAAGCCTGTAGGACAAGAATTAGACTTCCCAATATTACATAGTTTAGGGTCAACTTGCAATTCTGTAGAACTTACTCTACATAAAATTTTCATTAGACCATTTTATATGTTCAAAGACCTGGAATTCATAATTTTAACTTGTCATCGATGGTTTTAGGTATATCTTTAGTCTTTAATTTTTACCCACTTGCAGTAGTTTCTGGGGAAAATAATGAAGAGAGGAAGAAGAAAAATGTTTTCTGCCTTTTCTGGCTCTGTTGTGTGGAATATTCTTTCTTCCCTCTCAAATTCACTGGGTGCACTTAAAAGTCAAGCCAGTGTTATTATGGAGTTCTTTAAACAATATTGGGACATTAATTGGAAACCCAGTTAATGTGCAGCAACAATTCCCCAATGACAAGGTATAGCTTAGATGTGTTAATCTATTATGGGAAAGACTAGTTAAAGCTTCATTGTTTGAGATCTCCAGTGATACACTTATTTTCATTGCTGTAGTAAGAGTTTAATTATCACAAATATGCCAACAGTTGGTGAAATAAATTACTCTTTTTTAAAGTGATGATGAAGGAATCAGAAGTTGTGGAGTTCATCTAACTCTCCACTCTTTCTGTTCTATTTTCTTTTACTGTTATCAAGTTATTTTGTAAATGTAAACTTTCCACTGTCATCTAAATAGATCAATATTTTGTTTTAAAGAAACTCCTTTACTTGACATGTAGGAAGATACAGGATTTTTCTTTTTGTTTTTTTTAGAAGAAATCGTTATATCTGTTGGCAGTACGTAAATAATGAGACTTGAGTAAGTCTACGGGTATACGGGAATATTGGTATGAGTAAACCTTTATATCTATATCTTATATAGTATATCATATATAACACACGTGTATTATATATACCCCATATACATATTCTGTATCGCTATATCTAGCCACATGGTTATTGCAACTTATTACTCTTCTAAATCCAGACATTAGGTATTGGCCAGCTCTTAGAAGGGCAGGACAACGATTTTAGGTGAATAGAGTATGACTGGTGCAGAGCTCCTCATTGGTTTAAAATCAGTTCTCTATAATCTTTCTCACTTTATATTTTGCTTATTGCCACTGTAGCTAACAGGATTTTTGTTGAACTTCACTTTCTGTGGTTTGTAAGATGAAATATGAAGTTTTTTCTATGGTTTGTGTAATGAAAACAATGGGTATATTTTATATGTTTTTTCATATCCCTAGAAAGTTCTGAGAACCACGCCCCTCTTTAATCACTGTACCTCACTGCAATTAAGCATCACTGATTTCATCTCCATTCAATAGACATTTATTGAGTACCTGCTATGAACTCAGTACTCAGTAAAAAAGTGAATGAGGCAGCATGCTAACCCTCCAGGACCTTACCATCAGAGAGCCAGACACCTAAGTGGTTAATATCAAATAACTTGCTCTCTTCTCATTAGAACTGGGTGAATTTGTATGTAATGGAGAATCTCTTAGTATTAGGAAAGTTGTTAGTGTGACACAACTATTTAAAAGCCTAATTTCCTTTTATTAATATCTTTTTCAAGATGGGGATAAATGGAACAGAGGAGGAACTCTGTATCTGAGATCTGCATTACAAAATCCGTTTCTTTACCCATTTTCTGAGGACGCATTTAAGAGCTGCTAGTTTCAGGAAAACATAAATTTAAGTAAGTTATTAATCCAGATGTGGCAGGCTGGGTCATCTGAGAAGCAAATGCCAAGATAGGATTGAACGTGCAAGTGTTTTATTAGGATAAACACCTGGGGTGGGTGGAGGCAGGGAAGGCAGGAGGTGCGAGTCAGACTAAGGTGCAGGTCTGAGCCCAGTGAGGGAGAGGGGTGAGGGAAGGCTGGATGGAAGTGTCTGAGACTGCCTCGCAAGGCCACCGGGACTCCTGCATTATATTAATTACATGAGTTATATTAATGCAAGAGAGTCCACTTACCCACGGGATGTTGCTTGATTGATTTCAGGAAGAAACAGTGTTTTTTTTCTTTTTTTGTTTCCGGTGGGGGGCAGGCGGGGGGTGGTGCAGAGGGGTGAATGCATTATAAGGTGAGGTCCTCAAAATATCCCTTGAATTATTCCAGGTTCTTCAGGGGAGAAAACTAAATAGGAAGAGCACAAGAGTATGTAAGAGAGCATGTGAATGAGCAGTGTTCGTCTTTGGACCTAAAGATCTATCATTGATGGAAAAAAAATTCTTTCCAATTTTAAAGATTATGGAGGAGGAATAAGTTGGTGGGGCGTGAGGTGACCTGTTCGAGGCGTGTCAGTGCTAACAGTGGGGACAGCAGCCTTTAAATGACTGATCCCTCTCTCTGAAGGTTTCATCACTTATTCATTTAGTAATGTCTGGTTATAAAAGATAACAGCTCCCTCCGAAAGAGACTGTGAATTGAAAATGAGGAGTTACTAATTATAAACATGTTATCTTAAGTATTTTTTAATCTTCAGGGAAAATACTAGCTTTAGTGATCTCTATGGCGAGTTAGGAAAATGAGCTTTAAGAGGATAAGGAGAGGAATACAAAGAGACGGGAGTGTGAAGAGTTGAGCCAGAACGAAAATCCAATACTGTAGTTTGGCCCAAGAAGTGAATAGGAGGCCAAGGTCAGTAAAGACAAAGGCCAGTCAGAGATTTCCTGCGGGCAGAGCTCAGTGGTCCATTAGCCAAGACAGTATTTTAGCCTTATTGGAAAAAGATGATGAGCCTGGGCCCAGATAATCAATGAAACATGCCCAGTTTAGTGGTGGAAATTTGGGGAAAAGAAAGAAAGATTTGAAATCCAGAGTAGGGAATTTAAAGATTTTTCCAGGGATGTAGGGCGTAGAACTAGTCGGAAGGAATTGTTCAATTCTTGGGATGTGTGCCAAGCTATTGCAGTAGCACGAGACATCTGTGAATTGGCCTGACTGAATACCGTTGGTAACACCAAATTCTTTCAAAGTCCAAGTAATGCTCATTTCAGTGTTTGACCTGTCCTGATGGGTAAACTAGGCATGTTGGTAAAGCCTGTAAGTACCAGAAAATAAAACATAAAGGACTCAGGAGAGCCACTTTTGGAGGAGAAATTTTCTACTCATTTTAACTCTGCCTGGTTATAGGTAAGGATTGAGGTTTCTTTTTATTTTCCCATATGGATATCCAATTGTTACAGTTGTTGGACAGATTAGCCTTTCCCCATTGCATTACCTTGACATCTTTTTCAAAATCAACTGACCATATATGTGCGTGTCTAGCTCTGGACTCTCCTCTGTTCTGTATCTGTGTGTCTATCCTTATGCCAGTACTACAGTCTCTTTTTTTTTAACATCTTTATTGGAGTATAATTGCTTTACAATGTTGTGTTAGTTTCTGCCGTACAACAAAGTGAATCAGCTATAGGCATACATATATCCCCATATCCCCTCCCTCTTGCGTCTCCCTCCCACCCTCCTTATCCCACCCCTCTAGGTGGTCACAAAGCACCGAGCTGATATTCCTGTGCTCTGCAGCTGCTTCGCACTAGCTATCTGTTTTACATTTGG